TCAAGTTACCAATGTGTAACCAGCTCCTAAAGTCCTTGAAAAATTAACTATCTGGGGGGCTCTGCAGATGATCACCATGAGTGGGTGGGGCTGATGTAGATGGCTGCGCAGAGGACCTGGGGGCCCTGAGGAAGCAGAGGCCTGCAGGGCTACAGGCAAACAGAGAAGAAAGCACAGGGAAGGAGAAATAAGAAACAGGATTCTAGCCCATATTCTGGATCAATCAGCCCGGCAGGTTAAGTAACTTAGCACTTATAAAGCCCGAGAAAACTAAAGCAGTCAAGAGAATCACCTTATGCAGATGGCAAGATACAGACAACTGAATGGGAATATATCAGAACAAAGTTTAATAGAAAGCCTTGGAAAAGTAAGCCAACAAAAAGAAAAAAAGTTAAACTCGACAGAAGAAAAAAGAATGGACTCTGAAGAAGATGACGATTAGTGAATTTAAAAAGTTTAGACGCTAGAACTTAATGGAACAATTCTAGGACAGATACTAATTGGCAGAAGTTAAGATCTGACTAAATACTTACTTTGATTATTGTCTATAGGACTTTTGAAAGGGAAACTTATCGTGAAAAACCAAAAAGGGAAGGAAGAAGGAAGGGAGAAAGGGTTTGGAAAGGGAGGGAGGGAAACGAACAATCTGGCCTTGGCTTCACAGTAGCTTCTGGCCCTGGCACGGTGCTGGGGAGTGAACTAACTGGCCTGGTTGATGCACCCAGAGGCCAGAGGGGGAAATGACGCATCAAGTCTTTCATAGGAATCCTGGTGCTTTAGATTCTGTGAAAGTTTGGGGAAATCACCAAATTGACTGTGTGTATATTATCCTCACTCATCTGGATGGGTAAGAGGAATCATGCAGGAAAAAGAGCAAATAGCACAGGGCCTAGGAGACCACTGCGAGGTGCAAAAGCCCCTTTCAGCCTATGAAGAACCATTTTGGTATGAATAATACCACAGCAGGTTGCATTTCTCTCCTATTCCTTTAGGTTAGTTCTATCAACTCTATTTTTTAGGACTTGCAGCCTCAAATGCCAAGAAAGAGAGGGAAGGAATGAGCATTTACGAAGTACCCAAATGAGGCAAGGCATTTCATTTATATTCTCACACTTAATTCCCCTACTTGTTACATGTACATGACTCTCTGAAAGTACATTCAGATTTGATTCAGAGAGATTCTGGGGCTTGTCCGAGGTGATCCGGGTAATAACAGGCAGAGATACTTTCAGCATCTGTGTGATTCTGGAAGCTATGCTCTCTCCACCTACCCCAGGAGCCTCATCTCACCCCTTGCCTGTGTCTATGAAAACTTCTTCACTGGTTTTGTCTTTCACTGCCTAGAGCGGACATCAGAAAACCTCAAGAGTCAGTCAGCACTCAAACCTTACCCACATCAATTATATAATATTTGCCTACAGAAATTAGCTTTACTTTAAGCCAACATTAATTCTTTAAACCATCAGTCACATAATATCATGAGAGTGCACAAGCCCTAGAGAATGTGTGTTCTGTGTTCTTCACTCATTCTGTAACCGTGAAGATGGGACTTGCAACTCCTGTAATAAACACCTTCAGGGCCTCCCCCGTGGCACAGCGGTTGAGCACTGAGTTGCGAAGCTGCCTGCAGGATCTGCAGCACCGGTTTGATCCCTGGCTGCTCCCCGGCCACTGGAGGAGGGTCCCACATGGCGCGCAGACCTCTCCTGCCGCCCGCTGCTCCCCTCAGCAGTGTGCTTCGGTCCTTCTGCCTGCTCTGCTCCTGGCTCTGGTGAATTCTCTCACCCTCCCGCGCTTCTGACTGTACCCAGTGCTTGTATAAATAAATAAATAAATCCTTTTTTTATATAAATAAATAAACACCTTCAATGCTCCCAATATTTTTTCCATGAAGAAGTTAATTTCTCAATAAAGAAAGAGAAATACCCAAGAAATACCCAAGAAATGCCCAAGAAGCAGGCAGACACTGGACATAGGGAGCAGGTACATGAGCAGCTGGGGAGGAGGAGGATCAGCCACATAGGGGCTGGGATTTTAATGCCCACGTGAGTCTAGAAGAGAAGAACTTGGAATCGTCAGACAAGAAATTGGAAAAGATACCCTCGGACAGAAAACTAGAAACCTTTAATTTTGACCTAAAGCACCTTTTTTTTATTTTTTTTTTTAAGATTTTATTTATTTATTTATTTATATAAGCACTGGGTACAGACAGAAGCGCGGGAGGGTGAGAGAATTCACCAGAGCCAGAGCGGGGAACAGAACAGGCAGACTGATGAAGTACACTGCTGAGGGGAGCAGCGGGCGGCAGGAGAGGTCTGCGCGCCATGTGGGACCCTCGCTGGAGACCAGGGATTGAACCAGCGCTGCGGAGGCTGCAGGCAACTTCCCAGCCCAGCGCTCAACTGCTGTGCCACCAGGGAGGCCCTAAGCACCTTTTTCATCGAAGTCAGTCATTGAAACCAAACATTTGAACTTAGGCTAGAGTCTACTGGTCGCTATATGTAAAGTGATGAAGCAAGATTTTTTTTTAATGAAACACATTGTTTCATTTTATTATTAATTTGACTATGTGTGTATAATCCTCACTCATCTGGATGGGTAAGAGGAATCATGCAGGAAAAAGAGCAAGTAGCACATGCCAGGGCCTAGGAGACCACTGAGAGGTGCAAAAGTCCCTTGCAGCCTATGAAGAACCACTTTGGTATGAATAATACCATACCAGGTTGCACTTCTCTAATTATTTATTATTAATCTTGAATATCTCCACATTCTCATTTATATTTTTGTGCCTATGTTTCTTTTGAGATAATTCTGTTTATTTCCTTTTCTTATAAGTATACTTCAATGCTTCATCACTAGCCAGTAATAAATGTGAGTATATTTTATTAAAAAAAATGAAACACCTTAGAACACATAGCTCTTACTAAATAAATTACCAAATATTACATCCTACATAATGTTATATATGAATGTTTTAGTGAGAGCAAAAAGGCCTTTTACGCTGTAAGTTAAAATAATATTTCTGAATATTGTTTTCCTCAACTTTGTCCTCCTTTTTTGTATTTCTTCTAGTGATCAAGTAACTCTCATCCTTTTTATCCCATCCTTTTTAATGTCTTCATATACCTACATAGAATTTAATGTTAAATATAGAATCTATGAATGTCATTTATAAAATACATTATATATATTTGAAGATACAGGCTCAAAATCATTTAATGGATGAAGAACAGGGTAAAAAAAAGTTTGGAGACCACTGAATTTGAAATCCACATTTTTTTCAAACAAATATGGAACATCACTAGGCTTCCTAGTGATTCTCAAAGAAATGACAAAGGTTTGCATGTACTTGTAATTTTCTATGACTATAAATTAACCACAAACTTAGATTCGCTATCTGAAGTCTGAAATAGGTCTCACCAGGATAAAATCAAAGTGTGGGCAGGCTGCAGAGGAGAATCCAAGCCTCAGCTTTTTCTGGCTTCCAGAGCATCCGGCGTCGCTGGCTCTTATGTCCCCTTCTTCCATCTCCAAGTCAACAGCATTAATCTGAATCCTTCCCACACTGCCCCCTTCTGTTTCTCTCCTTCTTGTCTTTCTCCTGCTTCTAAGGACCCTTGCTTTTACATTGGCCCACCTGGATCATGGGGGTCCTCTCCCCATCTCAAGGTCAAACTGATGAGCAACCTAGATTCAAACAGCAACTTTAACTCCTCCTTGCCTGGAGAGGACAAAGCAGGGTTTTGCACTTGAAACCCTGCACATCACACCCCTGCATGTCCTCCCACTTGAGAGGACCCCCAGTAGAGCTGTAGAAGGGGGTGGGGAAAGGCAGGGTGGAAAAAATGAAGAGAAAGGAAACCAAAGAGTGAGATAGAGAACAGACCTAACAATGAGATCACAGGGGTGTGACATTTTATGAGCAGCATGGAAACTACTGCGAAGCCCCTGAACGAAAACAGCCCTGGAGACTATGTCACCCCAAACCTCACTCCTTGGGGAAGGAGGAGCATATCTGACTTGTGTGTTTTCAGGACTCAAGGAGAAAAGTCCAGATACTTCCAACATTTCTGAACCAGATTGGAGATTGGAAAGGGCTGACCCTTAGCTGCAGGCCTTTAATCCCGAGAGAGACGCCCCACGTGCTCCAGGGCCGATGGCTGCCACAGCCAGTGGGGAGAGGTGGTACAGTGGGAGGCCAGAAGGCAGTGGGAGTTGCCCTCACACAGGGTGGCACTAAGATTAAATGGGATCATATGTGATTTCCTAGCACAGAGAGGAGACGCAGATCCCTCGCTGTTACTCTGAACAGACCTCAATTGACGCAAGGCTCGCTACAGTCCCTGTTCACTCTGCTTCCTTTAAACATCCAATAGTTTTGCTGCAGAAAGGTGGTGCTTGCTTGTGAGGGCCACCCCAGCCCCCTGAAAATGTCAAATTCCAAAACTGAGCTGACCCCAAAGGTTTCAGATGAATTTGTGGACCCGGATGCAGTGCTGGTCCCCCCTCCTTCCCTACTTCCTTCTCTTAATTCTGTGAAAGAAGAGAGGCAGCGAGAGAGGGCACCTCAGCTGTCAGCTGAGGACTAGGGAGTAACGTGGGCATCTTGGTGGAAAGCGTGGCAAGAGGCAAGGTGGGTGGCTTTTTGTAAAAGAGGCAGCACGGGAGGGGTTACGGGACTCCTGAGTGCAATGCGGGACACCTGGGAGGGCTGGCGCTGGAGAGGCACCTTTGAAGAGTTGCAGGGCTTCTGACAGAGCTTGCCCTTTAGCGCTCTCCCCTGCACTCAGATCACGGAAAAGGGGTGGGGTGGAGGGGTGGAGGGTGCCGCGAAGAAAAAAAAATAGCCACCACAGAGCTTCCACTGCATCTGAGATCAGCTCAACACCTGAAGCAGGAGGGCAAAGAAGTCGCACCAGCGCCCAGCAGGGAGGTGCCAGCTCCAGAGCGTCTCCTGAGTCAGCAACCAGAGCCCAGAAAGTGCTCCCAAGGCAGGAGCCATGGCCCAGCCCCCTCCCTGCTGGCTGTGGGTTCTGGGGGCCCTGGCGGGCCTCTCAGCTACCCCAGCTCCCAAGAGCTGTCCTCAGAAGCACTACTGGGCTGGGGGAGAGCTGTGCTGCCGGATGTGTGAGCCAGGTAAGAGGAGGCCCTGTGTGCGGGAGAGAGGACAGGTCTGAGGTCTGGAAAAGGGAAGCAGAGTAGGAGCTCAAACCGGGAGGGGAGACTTGTACCCGCCCCTTCCTCTCCTGGAACTGGGTGAAGCAGCAGCCTCTGGGGCCTCAATCTTGTGCTCCACTCACAGGAACATTCCTCGTGAAGGACTGTGACAGGCCGGGCACGGCTGCTCGCTGTGACCCGTGTACTCCGGGGGTCTCCTTCTCGCCAGACCACCACGCCAGGCCCCACTGCGAGAGCTGCCGCCACTGTAACTCTGGTGAGATGGAGCGCCCTCAGGGAACAAGGCTGCAGAGCTGGGTGAGGGGAGTTGGAGGCTATTTCCAGGCCACAGCAAGTGGGAGATGGGGGGCCCTGTTGGAGGGCCCTACTGATGCGAGGAGAACCCCACTGTTTCAGGAAAGGGGTGAGCAAAATACATGAGAATTCCTTGCTCACCTAAGTCAAAATGATTGTTCATGGATTCTTTTCTCTTCTTGGCAGCAGCCCCCCAAGGTTTGGAAGTTTCTTGTCAAAGCCTCCCTGACTCACTCTGCAGGACTTTTCCCAGTACTGAGCTGTCTGCTCTCCCTGGGTTCCAGCCCAGTGCAACCCACAATCCCTCTCTACAGGACTCAGTCAGGGACACCCCCCCAACACACTCCAAGCATTCGGGCAGCACATGGCTGCAGAACTACAGGGGATGGCAGGCAGAGGTGGGGTGTTCAGGGGGAGGCTGAATGAATCTGGCCCTCTCTGGACCTCAGTCTCCCCATTTGGGAGAAACACAAGTGCCTGAAATCAGCCTGGAGTTTGGTGCCCTGGCTACACGTGGGGAATAGAACTCCCAGGTCTCTGGATGCTCCTCATTGAAAGCAATGGCATTTCACCCATTTTAACCAATCCCTGCCCTTTCTTCAGCCCTCACCTTTCCCTGTTGGCAGACACACCCTGATCACCCCCACCTCAATCCTCTTCACCTTGGCCTACCTCTTCCCCTCCCCACCACCCCCATGCTGGCCCCCATCTCTGTTCTTCCCTTGCAGATCCTTGTCCAGGCTGGCTCATGATTCCTGGTACACCATAAGAAAGTCAAATTCTAGTAGCAACAAGTCAGAATTTGGGAAGAAATAACTCCAGGGCCTTAAGGGCGGGAAGAAAGAATTTGTGTCCTCTTCCTTTCTTGACAAAAGTCACACACTCAAGAAAATTGTTAGGGTTGATGGTCCTCTTTGGCATCCTCCAATCTCCCTTTCTGAGCCCTTCCTCCCACCTGGCCAGGCTCCTCTCCCTGGGTCCCTGGTCAAAGGCATCACCAGCTCCCACATCAGTGCTGCCACCTTGCCCAGGATCAACTTCCTCTTCTCATCCCCAAGCACCTGTGAGACAGCAGCCCCAGTCCAGGGCCCCTCCCCACCCCAGCAGGAGGGCGGCCACAGGCGAGGCTGCAGACCCCCCCACAACACTGCAGGCCACCACGAATGTGAATAAAATGTGTATTTCAAAGGGAAAGGAAATCAGAAAACAGGTAGCTCTCTAGAAAGCTTCAAACCCATCAGGGACCACAGTGGGTGGCACTATCACTAATTGCTAAAAATGACCCAAATGCTCATTAATGGTAGAATGGCTAACTGGACCGTGGCCCATTCAATGGAACCAATACAGCCACCCGAATTCCCCCTCCACGTTAGACTCCACAGGGATGACTCATAAGGAACCAGGTACACGCAGCCAGACACACACGAGTACATGCTGCCTGAGTCTGTGTGTCTAGTACAAAACCAGGCAAATCTAACTTATGTCAGAAGGGAGGTTGGTGGCTATTCTTGGGGGGCGAGGGGTGGTTAGTGACTAGGAGGGAACTTTATCGATCTCCTGGTTCTTGATCTGCTGCTGGTTATGCCTGTGAGTCCACTTCTCTGGCCTTACACTGAGGACATGTCTACCTTTCTATATTATACTTCAGGGAGAAGGTACAAAAATATCAGTAAGGGAGGAAATCATACAAAGTGTTTTGACTTTTTATAGTGCTATTTCTGAACCCAGGAATTTTCTACAAGTTCCAACTTTTTTTTTATAGAGATGGCAAAGGCAGTGGGGACAGTGAGGTGGGGGCACATCTTGGGGGGGGGTGTAAATAGAAAGGACAGCCTGTCCCTGGAAGTGGGAGAGCGTCTGCAGGTCTCTGAAGCCTGAAGATCTCATGTGCCTCTAACCTCCTCTGTCCCCAGGTCTTCTCCTTCGAAACTGCACCCTCACTGCCAATGCCGTGTGCACCTGCCCCAGGGGCAGGCAGTGCCAGGACAAGGAGTGCACCGACTGTGGTCCACCCCTAAACCCTTCACTGACCACTCGTCCCTCTCAGGCCTCGGTCCTACACCCACAACCTACCCACTTACCTTATGTCAACAGTAAGTTCCAGGCAACCCTCTGTTCACTCCTTGGGGTAAGGTCATAACCCAACCCGCCCCCACAGAACTTGCCCCATCATGGTCAGCCTGCCCTGCCTTCCCATCCAGCCTCTCAGGCCTTCAACCTAGCCTAGCGCCCAGCGCTGCTCTCCACCCTATCTGTGTCTTTCCAGAGATGCCGGAAGCCAGGACGATCCAACAAGTGCAGACTCTGATTGAGTTAAGGTCCACCCCAGCTCTCTCCACCCACTGGCCATGTGAGTCCCCCCACCTCCCAGAAGGCATCCAGGGGCGCCAGGAAGCCAGCCTGACAGCTCCCAGGAGCCAGGGTAGGAAGAGGCATGACATGCAAAGTCTGGGGCTTAGGAAAGGCCGAGTGGAGGGAGGATGGACCTGGAGGAGGGTGGGCTGGGTTGAGGGGAGACAAGGGCTAGGCCTCCCCAAAACGCCCTGTGTGTTGCCTGCCTATGACAGCCCAAAGGCCCCTGTGCAGCTCCAACTGCGTCCGCATCTTTGTGGTCTTCTCTGGAATATTTTTTGCTTCCACCTTGGTCGCAGCCCTGTTCCTCCGTCAAAACAGAAAACATGGACTAAGTAAGAGACTACATCCAGGTCTCCCGTGTGACCCTGCTCCTCACCCCACCATCTCAGCCCTGCCCCCCGCCAGGAACCTAAGGGAAGCCGCCCTAGTTCGTCTTCACCAACCTGTTCCCACCAGCTCTTCTCATCCTCTTCCCGGCCCCTCCCTCCTGCCCTCCCCTCCTGGCTACCCCTGCGCAGCCCTTCTCCCAGCCACCCCTCCCCAGCCGCCAACTCCTGGGGTTCTCCTTCTGCAGACAAAGGAGCCATCGCAGCGGCGCCTGCAGAGCCCGGTCCCTACCGCGTGCCCAGGGAGGAGGAGGGCAGCGCCATCCCCAGGGAGGAGGAGGGCAGCGCCATCCCCGTCCAAGAGGATTACCGAAAACCAGAGGCCGCTTCCTACCCCTAAGCATCCTGTGGGGGGGGGGGGGGACCGGGTCCCGGCCTGTCTCACCCCACCAGCCGCTCAGAGGGAGCAAGACGCGGCACCCCCAATTTCAGCACCCCCCACATCGGGACCCTTTCCTATGCAGATGCAGAAGTGCCCCTTCGAGCAGGACAAAGCGGCAGGGGGTGGAGGAGGGGACTCCGGGGCTGCAGGGGCGCGGGGGTGGGGGGCCCCCCGGGGCACACCTGCGCAGGGACGGCGCCCGCGCGCGGGATCGCTGACCTAGAAACCCGGCAAAATAAAGTGACAGATGCCCCGCACTGCGGCTCCCGCGCTCCAACACACACCGGGCTCCTCGCGCGCCTCCCACCGCTGCCCGCGCGGACCTGGGCGCGAGGGAGGAGCCTCCGCGCTCACGTGGCCTGGGGCGGGAGCGGGCGGGGGTGCGTGGGTGTGGCACCAACCTGCCAGCTCCGGGGGAACGCGAGGCGGTGTGCCAGCAGGTCTTGAAATCGCCAGGGAACTTCTCAGGCCGGGCGAGGAGGGGAGGCTTGGTGGACAGAAGGGCGAGCCGCGTGCCGGGTCTGGCACCGGCGACAAATGGCTTCACCTAGAGGCCCAGGCGGCCCTGTGGCCTCTTCCTCAAAGTGAAAGTGAAAGAGGCGAAAGAACAGAAAAGCGTGTACAGGCGGTAGTCCAACAAAGGGCCTTTGGGGAGCCCCCTACCCCAGGGGACAGTGGAAGCGGAGAAGGGCAGAGTGGAGGGGCCTGCGAGCTGCCCCCATGGGCGCGGAGGCCAGGTGGTGCCTGCTGCTCTGCCTGGTTCTGCTGGGGGCTGCTGACCTTGGTGAGTAGGGGAGTCCCTGGAGGGAGGTGGTGGAGTAAGGAAGGCCAGAGAGCTGCTGTTCCCCAAACCCCAGAAGGGTGGCTTCCACCCTTCTAAGCCTAACAGGTGAAATGCTCGGTGACCCCCAAAGTGAGGAGCCAATTGTCTGTATGGGAATAAGGCTGAGAACTCTGGGTGGGAAGGCTACATGAAGAAACAAGGGGCCCCTTCCTGGCTGTGATGGGGGCTGCTGAAGCTTGGGAAGGGGTTCTCTGCCTAGGAAATCACTTGGGAGGGGTTCCTGGAGTGGGAGGGGCAGGCTCCCTGTCATGGCATAAAGCAGAGCCCTGTGACTAGCTGGGGATGGAGAGACCGTTGCCAACACAATGTCCCATCTGCACCCCCACCCCCCATGGTAGTTTTGTCAGTAATTTGCTGAGAATTTGTTTAACTAAGCAATTTTTCAGAAATAGTTTCACAAACCCTGTGAGCAAGGTAAATCCAGGGCTTTAAGTAATTCACACCAAGAAATATTTATCTGGGGCCTCCCTGGTGGTGTAAGGGTTAAGACCCAACCTATGAAGCAATCCACAGCCTCTGCAGCGCGAGTTTGATTCCCGCCAGCCAGGGAGCTACCCACATGGTGCAGCAGACTTCTACTGACTCACTCGCTGCTCCCCTCAGCAGTGTATTTCAGTCAGTCTGCCTGTTCTGTTCCCCACTCTGTCTTTGGTGAATCCTCTCACCCCCACAACTCTGACCTGTACCCCAGCTCTTGTATGCATAAAAAAATAAATCTTTAAAAAAAAAAAGAAGAAGAAGAAGACGTATTTATCTGGAGTGGCAGGTGCCTCCAGAAAGCTGGTTTGGGAATGACAGAAGACAGGGCCACAGAGACAGTGGGACCCTGGAAGACAACTTTCACCCTCCCCCTGCCCCCACTGATGATGCCAGTTTGTGGGGAGCTAGTATAGAAGTGATTTCTATGCAAGAGGGTGCTCATCCAGTCTTTTCCCTGCAGCAGAGAGGCAGTGGCGGGCAGTGGATGTGGTCTTAGATTGCTTCTTGGTGAAGGATGGTGGGCACCATAGTGCTTTTGCCAGCAATGGGAACATGGTGAAGGCCTTGCTTGTGCTGAGGCAGGTGCCAGTGCTGGATGATGGCTCCCTAGAAGGCTTTGCCGACTTCCAACTGGACACACTGTCCAAGGATGACCCACCTGTTACTTTTGAGGCCTCAGGTAAGAGCCCTCCACCCCACGTCCCTCCTCTGGGGCAGTCCAGTTCCCAAACACCTGCGCCCAATCAGCCTAGGTGTTCTCAGTCCAGCTCAACTCTGACACCTTCTCCCATAGCAAAGCTGATACAGATTCCCCAGGCCGAGGCCTTGCTCCATGCTGACTGCAGTGAGGAGAAGGTGACCTGTGAGTTATCCCACTATGATCTCCAAACCAAACAAGACGCCACTGCTGAGAGAGCAACCTGGTTCATCACCAACGTGCAGGTGTCTGGCGGGGGACCTGGCGTCTCCATGGTCCTGAAGACACTCGGGGATGCTGAGAATGGGGCTATCTTGCACCCCACCCTAAACCTGCCCCTGAGCCCCCAAGGGACTGTGCAGACTTCAGGTGAGAACATGAAAAATGGTAGAAAGTTTTTTTTTTCAAAGTAGCCAAAAATGGGCCAGAAGGAGAAAGGAACAACTCCAACTCCATCAACATTGGTCATCTTAGAGTACCTCTAGGCCTCAGCCCTTCCTTCCTAAAGACCCCAAATGGCAATAGTTTCTACCTCACTGGGTGCCTGAGGACATACACTTGGTGCTGCCCATTGCTGTCCAGAGGAGTCTGGAGACAAGCCCAGTTTTTGTCCAGTGAAAAGCTAGCTAGGTTTTGTGCTTCAGGATAATTAGAGCAAAACACAGAATTTGTTCATTATCTCTTACAAGTAAAATCCAGGGCCCTTTCCAACACAGCCCATCCTAGAGGACACAGAGACTTGAGAACACGATGTCAGGTTTCTCCCGTGTTCATCGAATCCAACCAAGTCCAGAGATTAAGGGGATATCTTCCCATCCTTAGAAAGTCCCAGAATACTCAAACTTCCCTCTGGGCCAACCTAGTTGTACCCTGCTCCAGATTTATCCTGCCATGTCCTACCCAGTGTCAGCCATGGTCCCGGAACAACTAGGCATTTCCCATTTTTGGGGGGGGATATTTCATACCACAAAGGTGAGAGAAGAAGCTAATGAGCCCGCTTGTCCTGCCACTCTCTCCAAGGGTCAGTGGTAACCCCTAATTCTGCACCTGCATTTTTCTGGTGAGAGGTCCGTAGCTTTCATCAGATCATCCCGGGGTGAGCAACTCCAAAATGGTCAAGACTAGCCGTGGCCATGCTGCCTTTCCATAGCCCCATTTCTTTGTGGCTCCGTCTGATGGGGCCTGAGCTCAGTGACCTCGCCGTCCAAGAGAGAAGGCAGGGGCAGGTGTGTGTCTGCAGCTCAGAGATCAGGTGACCTGGAGGAGAAAGCAATCCACGATCATCCCTCTTTCTCACCACAGTGGAGTTCCAGGTGACAACACAGACGCCGTCCCTGAAGGGCCTGCTGGGGTCCTCGACCTCCTTGCACTGCGGCTTCTCCATGGCACCAGGCTTGGACCTCCTCAGCGTGGAGTGGCGGTGGCAGCACAAAGGCAGTGGCCAGGGGGTGTACCGCTGGGCCATGGGACAGGGGCAGGCCAGGCGGGAAGGCGCTACCCTGGACGCTGAGCAGCTACTCGTGGCCGGGGATGCTTCCCTCACCCTACCCAGCCTCACTGTGAAGGACGAGGGCTCCTACATCTGCCTGGTCACCACCTCTATGTACCAAGCTCAACAGATCATCCAGCTCAATGTCCAAGGTGAGGCCAGATCCTGGGGAGAGGGGTAGAGACAAGTCTATTGGAGTGTTTTGTAGGATGGGAGCCTACAAGGGCAACTTTCCGAGAGGCAGCCGGTGTCCCCACACCCTCAAGGCCATCTCCATCCTAGAAACACAGATGGCATCAGATTAAGTGTCCTGCCAGACTGCAGGATAATTCCATCGAGAAATTTGCCAGCCAGGACCCTGCTGCCCTGCCCTGGCTGTCTGTCTCCAATCACCCCTGTCCTTTTGGACCACATTCTAGAAGGAGCAGCAGCAAACCAAGGAGGGGTGGTGGGAGCAGTCCTGACAGAAGCGACGTCCTATAATCACTGGCCCGTAGTGAGCCTAAGAAGCAGGCCAACCTTGAGTTGGTTCTACTGTTGTTTTTCAGTGACCCTTAGGGCCTGCATCCAGGGTAGACCTGGCATACCTTGACACACCAGTGAGGAGGAAGCTTCAGCCTCCACCATCTGCTCGAAGCAGAAAGACTTTGGTCCCTCTGCTGTCCCTTGGATCCCTCTGGAATCTTAGTGCTCATTTTTTTTCTTCCAGCTTCTCCCAAAGTACGACTGAGCCAGGCAAGCAATGCTCTGCCACCCACCCTCATCTGCCAAGTCGTTGGCTATTACCCCCTGGACATGGCTGTGACATGGACAAGAAAGGAGCAGGGTGGAGCCCCGGTCCAAGTCCCCAAGGCCTCCTTGTCCAGCCTCCGGCAGAGCCCCGCAGGCACCTATAGCATCTCCTCCTCCCTGACAGCAGAACCTGGCTCTTCAGGTGCCAGTTACACCTGCCAGGTCACCCACATCTCCCTGGAGGAGCCCCTCAAGGCCAGCATCTGGGTTGCCCCGCCAGGTAATGGAAATGCTCTCCTTTCCCCACCTCTACCCTTGGGCTTGTGGCTCTCCTGCCTCCAGCTCGTCCTAACCCCATTCTGCCTCCCACAGCCCTGGCTTCGTCTTTCCCAGGATGCAGCCTGGGAAAAGCCCCCATTGTACCCCGACTCCTGACACTCCATGTGGTATGCTGAGAGCTGGCGATCGGGTTGAATAGTTGCAGATCCTGCCCTCAAGGAGCTCAGTGCTTGGGAGAGACAGACTAGGCCATCAGGGAAGATGACCTGGGGGACAGGTATCAGCTGGGCTAGCCAGTTCAGGGGCAAGGGAACCCCAAAACAGAAAGAACAGCATGTACAGAGCCCTAATTATAAAACAGTCCAGAGAGATGTGGGGAACTGCACTGTTAGAGGCAAGGGATATGGGGGTGGGAGCGCTGAAGTTTGAGAACTATACTTATTGAGCATTTACATGACGCAAACACAGTACTGAGCACTTGGGAGTAGGACCACGAGGATGATTGTGCCTCCCTTAGATCCAGGAATAAACTGGCACTTACAGATGCTAAGTAGTATGTGCAAGGTCACCTACGCAGTCAGTGGTAAAAAAGAAAGTGTGAAGGAACGGGCAGCCTGATTCACCTACAACCTCTCACCCTGTACTGCTACCAGCGGGCAGATCACGCTGAGCCTTCAAGCTGGAACTTGATCCCGGAGCCCCAGAATGTCACTGAGAGGTTTTAAAGAGGAAGGAACTGGCACCTGGACAGGCAAATGTCCAGGAGCACTGGGCATTAGTGGGTGGCTCACTAGACTGTAAACCTTCCCCCAAACTGGGACTTCCTCTCAGCTTACATCACTCCCCAGCTCCTGATAAAATTCCAGCTTAACTATCAACAGCTACTGGAAGCTAAACCCTCTTCCAAAGCAATAGGAGAAAAATAAGGTTCCAAGGGAGGAAGAAGGAATTGTGTGTGGAGCAACACAAAACATCCAACACCCCTGAGCAAGTATGAATGCTGTGCCCCAGTTCCTGGGGGTGCGGGAGAGGACAGCACTTGCTAGGCGCTCCTGGACAGGGGTCTCTCTCACACCCATGCACGCGTGTGTGCGCGCACACACACACACACACACACACTCCCTTGAGGAAGAGGAGGCTCCCTGATCCTCTTCCCACTGACTCCTGCCCACGCTGCTCTCACCCATAGAGCGGAGAGTGACTTTCAGTGCTTTTGGTGTCCTCATTGCGAGCGCCCTCTTCGTTCTTACCCTGTGGTTCCTGGGGCTACACAGACGATAAGGTAAGAGCCCTGCCCTTACCTGGGGTCCCACCTCACTTGTAGAGCAACCTGCTCTAAGCACCCAAACCAGGGGTAAAGCCCAGGCATCCCCAATGCCACCTGCCACCCGTCCCCCTCGATCCCCAGCTTTTAGGGTTACCACAATTAAAACCAACCTCATTCCCTTTTACTTTCTCCTAGCTACCTCCCCAGGGTCTGCCAAGGCTCTATAGGACTCAGGGAAGCTGCTCTCCTGCCTCAGAGTGAAGAGAAAGAGTGGTCAAGTTCTCCCAGAAGGACTCTAAACCAGCACTCAGAAAGGCCCCCAGAAAAACAAGGAGCTTGGGCCTGCTTTCCTTCACTGTGCACCTTCACCGCCAAGGGAGCCGCGAGGAGGTGACAAGGCCACTGGAGAGCTGCATGGCTGGGGGAGGTTAACACAGACCTGAGGGGCAGCGGCAGGAAAAGAAATTAAGGGAGGCATGCTTGAGGGCCGTGGGAAAGGGATGGGCCACGGGCCACCTGCACAAACCTTGAACTCCATCCAAATAAAAACCCTGGTCCTCGAGGCAAAGCTGTTCCACTTTCCTGTCTGTCCCCATGCTGTCCCCACGCTGTCCCCAAGCCCAGCTGCCCCATCTGTAACGTGTTCAAGCTGTGAAACTCCAGCCCTCAGAGGCTGCTCTGGTGCCCTCCCAGCTGTGTGACCTTGAGCTGCCCCCCAGGGTCTGCTCCTTAGACAGTCACTGGGTATGTCAGTGACTGGGTATTTCCTCACTCCCTCAGCTGCAGGGCAGAGGTTTCCTTCCCTTCAGTTCTAAAATGTGGCCGGGCAGTACAGCGGCACTCGTCACAGGAGAAGCACGTGAGGATGAGGGGACCATGGCATGTGGCCTGAGTGTGGTCTCTGGGGCAGGCAGACCGCATTAGAAGGAGGTAGATGGAGCTGGCTGAGGAAACCTGCAGTTGTTTGTCAGGTGAGGGGCCCACTCAGCTTCCTGTCATCACTTCCTCTCATGGCACCTGAAAGGGCGGCTGCCTCCCGTAGGGTAGGGACGCTGAGAGCAGAGACCACTTCCTCTGCCAACACAGCTCTTTCATCTCCACCAGACCATACAGCACACAAGCCAGTCCTTCCAGCACCCCCCACCCCCAGTTACCCCAACCCAAACAACAGCCAAGTCAGTTTAGTGGTAGGAATTTGTATTTTTTGCCTTTGTTGAGAATACATGAAATCGGTAGATATGCACATGCCTTTGGTGGAAGTACAACTGTTATCGTTCTATACAAGTATGAGATTGGGGGGTAGGAAAAAAGACAAAGAGGTGACGACAGACACACAGTGGAAACCCCACATCATCTCATGGCAAACTCAAGAAGGGGATGTGGGAAGCTCGGCTTTGCTGGGCTGCAGAGTCCCAGGCTTTAGTTGCATATTTGCTCATGCACATGGCGGGGGGAGAGAGGGGGGTGTTAGGGGGGAGACAGCAAGGACACAGAGAGGATGCACGGTGGGGTGAGAAAGAAAGTGGAAAGGCTAAATCCCCCCCAAAGAACAAAGCCACTAGATCTGCTGAGCCTCAGAGGGAGGAAAACCCAGGAAAAAATTCCTGTGACAGGACTGGGTAGGCCAAGAGGGCGGATGTGCTCCAGGCCTGGGCCACATCGAGGAAAGTGGTGATTCTTCTCCAGCGGTGACCCCCTGCACTAGGCAAGGAGGAGCCCAGGGGAGAGTGGAGACCTTCGAGGGGGCCGCTGGGAGGGTACACTGACTGCTTTCTTCCAGCTCTTCAGTCCTGCCCTGGGGCAGGACGAAGGGAACGTGGGGAACAGGGCCAAAGGGAGAGGAAGGATGGTTTTGCGCCATGAAATGCTGCTGCATGGAAAGGGAGCCTCCAGACCCATCCCAGCCTGGCCTGTCTCTTGTTACTGGTGGACCGGCGGACAGACAGAACAAAGAGTCATGGCATTCCCCGCTTCCGCCCCCAGCCTGCCCCACCCTTGCCCCTGGGTCTGCCCTACTCAAAACCCTGGCCTGAAGCTCAGCAATGGCCCCCAGGTTGGGCCCAGCAGCTCTCATTCTTAGCTTCCTCTGTACCCATGATCCACGTGAAGAGGAGGGAAGAAAGGAGACAAAGTGGGGTTCAGGTGGGCAAGGGCACTTCAAAAGGGGAGGTAGCATAGGAAGGACAAAGAGGTGGCTCTCGACGAGAGGGCCTGCCCACCCAAGACCAAGCTGGTGCACCCTGGGCTCCTGTGAATACTCAGGATCAGCCAAGCCTCAGGCAGAACCTCTTGCCTCATCCGTCTTTGCCAAGTACACAGGGATATACTCAGGGGGGCATGAGGACAGGACTCCCTGAGAGTCTAAAAGCCTCACTTCCAACACCCTCACAGGTGTCGGAACAGGAATAGAGGAACAGGACTCTCCGTAACGAGAGGGCAAGAAGCGGCTTCCTCTGCGCTTGTTTTCCAATTAGACTCTTGACTTGCTGTTTGTCGCAACTGACAGGCATCCTCTCTTTATCTATTTTCTATTCTCTCTGTATCTATTTATCAATTAAAACTAACTGTGAGTTGGCTGTGTGAAATTACTTGTGCCCTAATGAACAATCCAGGATGCTGCTGAAAATGTGGACAAGACCTTCTGCCACTGAAGGGACAGGAGACGGCTCCTTCAGGTCTGAGTTTGTAGGGCGGGATGCCGCCAGGACGGGAGAGAGAGCCCTGCATTTTCACAGCATGCATTCTCCTGGTCTCTGGAGGACCAAGGAGAAAGCTGTAAGATCCCTGAAGACTTACAAAATCTTGGACTACCAGATTAGAAATAACTACAAAAAACAGGCTTGACTCTCTGAAAGGTATTGCACCAGGACTGCACTGGACCACAGGGTCCTCTTGAGGCCTGGAGAAGGAGAGGCGCTCCCAGCAGCCAGGGCAGCCCAGGCGGGCTGCAGTTCTCCAGCTGTCCACCGCCGTTTCCTGCAGCACCCTGGCCTTTTCGGACAGCACCGCAGACAACAATCCCATTCTCCTCCCCTGATCTCCGCACCTTCTTGGACACATCACCTCAGCTATGCCCCTCAACCCTTTCCCTGCCTTTCAGTTATTTTTGGCCTTGGGAAAACGTAGAATATGTAAGAAGGGAGGAGGTGCCAGCTGTTGCTCTTCAGGTTGTTACTTCAAGACTGCACCACGAGCAGCATTTCTAGTGTTCAGGGACATAGTGCAAATGAAAGCAACAAAAAAAGAGGAATGGGCAATGGAGGAGCCTGGGCTGGGATGGAGGAAGGTGGATGAGGAAGTTGGTTGAGAGAGCAAACAGAGGGAGAGGGACATGGGTTTGGATGGCAATGGAGAACAGGGGAGGGGTGGCACATTCTCAAGTAAAAAAGTAGACTGGACACAGGAATCAGGAAGTCCCAGATGGAAAAGAGAAAGAGACAGGAGAAAACAAGAGGGCAAATTACATCAAGTTACTAGACATTTGCGACTTTCACTCATTGGTGGCCCCATCCCTGCAGTCTCCCTCTGACCCAAGCCGGTGACAAACAGCATAGCCCTACTTCCTCAGAGTGGGAGGGACCATCCTCCCACAGGATCTTGCAAAGGGAAGGCTTGTCCATCAAGGAAGTCCTTTGTCTCTGCCCTTCCTCCCTCCCCACCAGGTGATGACCCCGCAGCAGCGATCTCCATACCTCAGTCAGAGCAGCCCCACTCCCCAGGCAGCAGGCAGGCAGGCAGGGCTGGGAGATGACTCCGGGACCTTCCCACCTCTTCACCCCACCAGCAACCTCAGCGATACTTACTTACAATAACTACCACGATGATGGCACAGATAGCTCCCAGCATGATCATCATCTGCGGAAAGAGTGACAAAATATGAGCCTTTGGGTGTGGTCAAGGAGGACATGAGCCAGGGCCAGAGACATGGGAACAGAGCATCTTCCACCCTTGGGACAGTAGAAGAAAGTACACTTCACCCAGGAGTCCGCCAGCCTTTAAGGGAGGACCTGGCTCTCGTGCTCCCATCAACAGGAACCCCTGTGCCACAGCTGAAGCATCTCAGAAGCATCAGTGAGCTCTGCAGCTTACTCCTTTTTGCTTGGTTCATTGCCTGAAGACTTTGAAAGGAACCCCAAAAGTGGGCCAGGCAATTGGATCATTTCAGCTAATTGCTAAAAGTCAGGTATTTCAAAATACAGCTATCCAGTCATTGTATTGACATTGGGGTATCTGGGGAAGGAACCAGGTGAACTTTTACAGGGGAGTCCTTTGGGGGAAACCAGCCTGACAAACCATTCCCCAAACCCTCAGGGTATTAGGCTCCACTTACAGGGTTCTAAGTACTCTAGCCCACCCTAGTGGCCACTGCTGATAATACACCTCAAAAAGAGGAGATAGGCCCTTCCCTTCTAAAAGTACTACCCCTGCTCCTGCACCATTAGAGGGAAGGAAAGTAGAACCTGAGGGTTCTCTTGCTTTGCATGAATTGAGGCTCAAGTAAATAATGGGGAGAAGAAAAGAAAATCCACCTTGCAATTTTTCCACCAATACTTCCTCTTTAACTTGGCAGCACTGCTCTCAAATTGTGATGCTCCCGCCTGCAAGGCGTCAGCTCGGTCATCCAGCTCTGACAGCTTCTGGTCCCTCTCCAGGACCTTGTCCACATTCACACGCATGATGTCCACCACCTAAGAGGGGGGTGCAAAAACAAAGCTGCTAAGCACCCTGCTAGAGGCCTGGGAAAGAACAATGCCCAGAGCATGACAGATCTGGCCCTGGATAATTCTAAGGGATACTTGCCTCCCACCCTTTAAAAGCACCTCCATAAAAAAAGAGGCACTCCTAAGGGTCTATGATTTGGAAACTCTCAGAGAAAAAGTCATCACCTACCTCTTCCACTTGTGCCTGGGTTTGCTGGAGTCGTCTGTTACTGGTCATATTAGGGGGAGGGCCAGGGGGACCTCCACCTGGGGCAGCCCCTTCTGCCCCTTCAGCAGGTGGCTGAGCTGGAGCAGACCTGTGGAGAGAAGTGGACAGAGTACAAAAATAACAGAGACAAGACAGGAGTCACATGTACTCTCCCCCCAGACCACCAAAGCAATGGTGACTTGGTGATACACAAATAGAAGTGAGTCTGCCTCCTTGGCAGTACCAAGTGGGAGATGCGGCATAAAAAGCAGCAGCAAATGATGAAAGATCCCATTAAAACATTTAGACGGGACTCAGGGACATCTAGGGGGGCATCAAAAGGACTTGTTTGGGCTATTCTCTGACCCAAACTCAAACACATCCTCTGGCACAGTGGCACAGAGGGACACATGGCACACAGCCCTGGCCAGCTGGCTTCTCCATGACTGTCAGAAGCCTTTCCCTGAAGTCAAACTGGAAAACACCAATCTAGGTGAGAAGAAATTCATACAATAGGCTAAACCTCAAGACAAGTCTATGAACTGAACAGCTCTTCTGTCCAAAGTGTGAATATAAAAGAAAAGGGCAAGCTGACAGACTTGACGCAGGGGATTCAGTTATCAGCTAGATTTCACCAATGATTAGTATATTGGGGGTGCTGTAAGGACAACTTGGAGAATCACCAAAGGCAAGGCCTCTGTAGGTGGAGTGAGTCAGGACTGTTCACTTGCTCTGTTTTTGGCAGAGAAGATGGGGGTTTCAATTAAATGAAATTGAGGCCCAAAGCAATCATATCAGTTATGAAAATGTTCCAAAAATACAGACAAGAAACAAAAATGCTGGAAAAGGTCTTCAATGTATATGCATGATGGACATTTCGTCCCTTTCTCTTTTAGATTTAGCGTCAGGTCTCAGGAGATCCCCTAATCCCTTACATCACAAAGAGAAACCTTGGTTTACACTACTATACAGTTCTCTTTCCATTAGTCTTAGTGAGAAATAATCTCATGGAGGGTCTTCAAAATAAACGCTTCTCCATTTCCTAACACATGGAGGATAAATTCTCCTCCTAAACAATTCCCAGGAGTCTAACCTAAGGCATGAAATTTTCCCTGTCAAGCAAGGACCCACAGGTTCTTGGGCAAGCTCTCCAATATGATGGTGAATATAAATTACAACAAGAACCAGAAGCAAAATCTCACAGAACATATTTCATAGAGTAGGCCAGAAGTAAATGCACTACAGATTAAATCATCACAAAGTCATCAAAAAAGAAATGCCTTGACTACTCACACTAGAATACCCAGAAGTTCCTCCTCCCTAACTAAGTGAATTTTTTACTGTTTAAAAGATAGAAAAAATAAGCTCTCACAGTGGCTATACTAGCAGATTGCATACACCCGACTCACCCCTATTTAAGGAATTGCTTTCTCATTTCCCTCTAAGGCACTAAGGAGGCAAATGAAGGAAAAAATACCAAGCCATGGATGCCACAGGACTCTTGTGCTACTACTGAGCTAAGCAATCTAGTTCTCCAGTGAAAGTGGAAAATTCAATGAATAGGTAGCTGCTGGTGTTTGGCCTTGGAAGCAGTCCAGGATGGTGGCACCAATGACAAGATTAAGGTCAGAGACCTCGTGATGCCCTGCTAGTCACCATGCTTTCTCCATCTCCTTCCCTTCATCCCACATGGGTGCTAATGGGACAGTCAGCTGAGAAGGATCCCCCTACCCAACATGAAAACAAATGAATCCTAGGACTTGGCCAAAATGCCTAGAATATCATATACGGTTAAAAGCACATAAATAAAGCAGAGAAAAAGGGAATTGGTTATAAAGCACTTAGAGGGAACATTTTGATTGCTACTTGTTGGGAATGGGGAACACTCAGGAGTAAAATATCCAGGGGTAGTTATAACCCTTATGTAACATAAGCAAATCACTTCCCCTTTTTGTCACTAAGAGAACACAAAATACATCTAAGACCAGGCCAGGACTTTAGGCAGTAATAAGAAAAATAATAAACATATTTGGGTCCTGATAGGACAGTACTTCATGAACTATGCCTAGCTATAGTTCTCCCTCAGAAGATGTTCAAGATGGTTAGAGACTAAGCTAAACACGTTGGGGAAAGCCAGGGGAATTTCTTACTGTCTAAAAGATAGAAAAAAGAAGCTTCCAAATACTTGGTTTAGACTCAAAGACAAGAAACCCCCTCCAATACGGGTGGCCTTGGGATGAATGGCTGCTGGGAATCACAAGCTACTGTCCCTTGAGTCTTTCTGAGTTGCTCACCTGGCGCCACAGAACTGACAGATAAGTTTCTGGAGCTTTGCTCACCGCCAGGGTTGAGGAGTAGGGGGAGTAAATGCCACAGTTGGGGTGATGAGCATACACAAACCCAGAGATTGCGAAGCAACTCAAGTTACTAACTCGCCTAGGTGCACCGACAGAGCTCGCAGGTACTGATTCAGTCAGACAAGAAAGACCCCAGAAGCGCCTCTCCATCTAGGGTTTCCACACCCTATCTTCGCCCTCTCCCTACCCCGAGTCCCGAATGTGGAGCCCCGCAGGCGAGAGGAGGAGGTGCAATGAATGTGGGACCCCCGCGCCCCTGGCCCGCCAGTGAGGTGCTGACTGTGGCTGGTGCAGTAATGGGGTGCTGTCCCCCCTCGCCGGGGGTGGCCAGGTCTGGGGGCGGCGGGCGGTGGTGGCTCCCCGCATCGCCGCAGCTGCTGCAATGCGCCATTTTCCGTCCCGCAGAGTCCGGCGCGGGGGGTGAGAGTTGGCAAGACGGTGTCCAGTCCCCCACACCAGCGTCAACTCACATTTTTCTGACAGGGAGTAGGGGTCCGTCTCCTCTCCGGAGGCTGCGGCGAGACACCCAGCGAGGGGAAATCTGCAGCTGAACTGCACGGAACCGCCGAGCTCCGCCTGCTGCAAAACACCCGGAGCTCTAGCTGCGGCGGAACTTACCGCAGCTGCCCCGCCGCTCCCGGCTTTATTAGCGCTGGCCACGCCCCCCGGCTAGAGCGGCCCAATCCACGCCCAGGACAAGCGTCCATCCAGAAGGCACACCCTACTGCGCCCAAGCCCCGCCCACCCCTGAAAGTGGCCAATCGCAGCGTCCTCCTCATCCTGACTCCAAAAAGTAGTGGTGGCTGCAAGTGTCACTCACTGGCCAACACAACTAAAGCTTGCGCACCTGTCTAGCTACGCGACAGGGCGGGGTGGACATAGGCACATTCCCCTGAAAGGGGCGGCCCCAGCAGCTGGCGGGGCGGCTGCTGTGGAGCGGTAGGGCGTCCAGTGGACTTGCCTGCCCCGGGCGTGCAAAACTGGCCTGCACGCTCTGCCCCCGAGAAACAGTTCTGAAGAGGTTGCATCCATCAAGGCAGAGCCCAGGGCTCCTGGGCCAATTACCGGGCGCGGGGTCCCGTCCGACAACAGCAAATGCGAAGGCTTGGTTCGTTTCCTCCGTCCCGAGCCGGCTCCTCCTGTCCATCCCAGGTAAGCTGCCACTTTGACTTAGTTGCGCAAACCAGAAACCTGAACTAACCATCGTTTCCTCCCCATTCATTTTTATTCTTCCACTGGTTTATCAAAGTTGAGTCGATGTTTCTTAGTATTTCAAGGATTTTCTCCCCTAGGCTCACTGTTCTACTTGAGACGACAGCTGCTTGCCTGCATGCATTCTATCACTTGCCCAATTCTATTTTGTGTTCCGCTAAGAAAAAAGATAGCAAATAAAGTGACACAATGCATTCTTCTTACTTAGAATTTTTATATTTCTTCAAGATTTTGGTTTATATGGATACAGGTTTTTAAGTCGTGCGTACACAAAAAGGAAGATGAGGAGGAACAGCTAGCGGTATTCCTAAAACTTTACTTTTAGAGGCTGATTTATGATTTTTTTTAAAATTCAGTCTTCAGTATCCAAGATTTTCCACAAAATGTAGTCCTCTGTACATGCCATCAAGGGCTTTGGTGATGCAGCATTTCTTAAAGTAGTGTTCCTCTTCTCTCTGGAGTTTTTTCCCAAGCCTCAGACACTTAGTTGGCAATTTTAGATTTTTATAAGCTAGTATGACAAATGCAGTATGTCATTTGTCTGGCTAATAGGGAAACATAGCAAGTTCGATGTTAACATGAAAAAAAAAAGGTACCTCTTATAATTAATGCAATATCATATCTTTCATATCTAGTTTGCCCTTCCTTATAATAATCCTCTAAGAACCCCCACCCATCTATCCAAATGACACAACACTGCTTAAAACCCTAAGCGAATTTTGTTAGAAACATCATGTATTAATCATCACATGTGTTTATCCTATTCCTTTCCTGAAACCACATCAAACTGACAATTTGTAAAAACTGAAAACAAATTATAAGCCCTCACAAACTAAAAGGAGAATTTGTTTCTGACAGTATGATTGCCTAAGTATCCCCACCAGTTCTCCCCAGAAAAAACTTAAGATCACTAATTTTTGTTTTAACCAAGGTATTTTTTAAACTTAAAAAAATAATTATTTCACATGAGATGGCAAAAATAGATACAGGGAGAGTCCCCTACACCCCAAATGGTAACATTTTGAGTAACTATAATACAGTATTAAAACCAGGAAATTGAAATTGGTACAGTCCACAAAGGTATTCACATTTCGCCGGTTTTATGTTTTTTTGTGTATGTGTGTAGTTTTATAAAATGTGTGCATAGATTCCTGTCACCAACGCTACAATCAGGATACAAAACTGTTATATGACAAGGCACCCTCCTGCTACCCCTTTATAGCCACATCAATCCCATCCCTTACCCTTGGCAACTGTTAATTTGTTCTCCATCTCTATAACCTTATTTTAATAATGTTATATAAATGAAATCATACAGTAGGTGACCTTTTAAGATTGGCTTTTTTCACTCCGCATAAAAGCCTTGCCAGCTAGCCAAGTTGTATCAATAGCTTTCATTGCTTTTATTCTGTGGTATAGATATACTACAATTTGTTTAGCCATTTACCTACCTACGGGACATTTGGACTGATTTCATTTTGGGGCTATTACAAGTAAAGTTACTGTACAGATTTGCATGAATGTAAATTTTTATTTTTCTGGGTTAAATGCCCAAGAGTACAATTGCTGGGTAGTAAGATGGTTGCATGTTCAGTGTTATAAGAAACTGCTAAACTATTTCCCAAAAGGGCTGTACCATTCTAGATTCCCACCTGCAATGTATGAGGAATCCAGTTTCTCTACATCTTCCCCAGCATTTTGTGTTATCACTATTTTTGTATTTTAGCCATTCTGATAAGAGATATGGTTTTAATTTTCATTTTTCTAATGATGTTGAGATATTTTGATGTGTTTATTTGCTGTCTCTATGTCCTCTATGGTGAGCTCTGTTCATGTCTTTTGTCCATTTTCTAATTTTTTACTATCAAGTTTTGGGATTTTTATTTCCATTCCATTTAAACAGAAGATAAATAGCGTGTTCTGCAGTCAGAATGAGAATTCTTTAAATAGCCTAAGTGAAGTATTTTGTCAGATGAGTGGTTTTTCCTAGTCTGTCATTTGTCTTTTTATCTTCTTAACAGGATCTTTCTAGAGCTAAGGTTTTTAATATTGTTATGATTCAGTTTATCAATGTGTCCTTTCATGGATCACACTTTTGGTGTTGAGCCCAATAACTCTTTGCCTAGTCCTAGATGTTTTTCTCCTACTTTCTTTTCTAAACATTATGTAGTTTCATTTCATATCTAAGTTGGTGATCACTTTGAGTGAATGTTGTATGAGGTGTGAAGTAGATAGGGGTTCATTTTTTTGCCTATGGAGATCCTGTTGTCCCAGGAACATTTGTTGAAAAAGCAATCCTTCCTTCATTGAATTGCTTTTGCACCTTGTCCTAAATCAGTTGAGCAATTTGTGTAGGTCTATTTCTGGGTTTTCTATGAAGTTCCAGTAAACTTGTGTTTGTCCTTCTACCAATAATATGCTGTCTTAGTCACTGCAGAGTGAACTTTAACACTGGATAGAATTAATTCTCCCACTTTCTTTTCCAAAACTGTTTTAACTATTTGTGCTCCCTTGCCTAAAAGGTTTTTTTTAAATGTATTTATGTGCTATCAAGAAAGTAATGCCAGGGTGGCAGCCCCAGAAAACGAATACAAATGTCTTAAACTTGTTTATGTGTTTTATACCAAAACCAATTGCAGACATTTTACATATACATTATACTTACCTGTGTGATGGGTGGTAGAAACATCAAAAGGGACTTGTGGGTGTGCTGAAGGGTTTGACTTATGATAAATATTGATAAGTTTAAGAAACCAACAGGAGTAAATAAATATCAGTGCTTCTTAGAATAGGAATCACCCTCAACACAAAAAAAGAACTTTGATTTTCTAGGTACAGAAGGTAATGTATTACTCAGTTCATGATACACTATTTTCACTTATTCATAGAAGGACCTGCCTTGTTTCATTTTTATATTCTTTTTAATTTTTTTCCTCTCCAGTCACAGACAGTATTGATTTGTTTGATATTTATAATTTTGCTTTTGCAAAATATGTACTTTTTGGTGCATGTAATTTTAATTTCTGTAAGTTATGTTTTAGATCTTGTTTCTTTTTTCCATTCAGCACTGTTTTAAAGATTTCTAGTTTGGGGGCCTCCCTGGGGGTATAGGGGTTAGTCTCAGTGCTATCACGCTATCACCAGCCACTGTGGCATGAGTTTGATCCCCTGCCAGGGAGCTAACCCACATAGCACAGCAGACCTCTTATCTCACCCACTGCTCCCCTCAGCAGTGTATTTCAGTAGATCTGCCTGTTCTGCTCCTCAGTCTTGTCTCTGGTGAATCCTTTCACTCCTTGCACCTCTGACCTATACCCCAGTTCTTATATGCATAAAAATAAATCTTTTAAAAATTAAAAAAAGGGCCTCCCTGGCGGCGCAGCGGTTGCGCGCTGGGTTGCGAAGCTGCCCGCAGCCTCTGTAGCGCCAGTTAGATCCCTGGCTGCTCCCCGGCCACCAGAGGAGGGTCCCACATGGCGCACAGACCCCTCCTGCCGCCCGCTGCTCCCCTCAGCAGTGTACTTCGGTCTTTTTGCCTGCTCTGCTCCCCGCTCTGGCTCTGGTGAATTCTCTCACCCTCCCGCTCTTCTGACTGTACCCAGTGCTTGTATAAATAAATAAATCTTTTTTAAAAAAATAAATAAAAATTAAAATTAAAAAATAAGATGTTTTAGATGATAAAAAAAAAATTTATAGTCTGTAAACAGTAAGTTTTATCTCCTCCTTCCAATCTTCATAGCCTTGCTCTCTTTTTCTTCCTTTCTTTTCATAGCTTTGACCAGGATCTTCAGTTCTGAATTAAATGCAGCAGTAATAGAGGGCATCCATGTCTTGTTGCTGAACATAAAGGGAATTATTTGTCCATTTAAAATTTGTTGTTGATCTTTAATATAGCTTGCCAAGTTTAGGAAATTTCCTTTTGTCAAATTTTAACCATCAATAGCTGTTGAAATTTTAAAAATTTCCTTTCCTATATTGAGATAATCATGGAGAGCTTAACTCTCAACTTTCATAACTGGATGCTATAGAGGTCAAAAAATTATAAATCATGACAAATTTTAATATATTTCCAATTATGATGATTAATACAATAGTTTAAAAAAGCGTAATCTAAAAATAGATCTTCATCTCACACCAATTTTTAAAAACTGAGATATAATTCATATACCATTTAATCCACTCATTTAGTATGTAATTAGATGAGTTTTAGTACATTTATAATGTTGTGCAACTAGCACCACTAATTCCAGAACATTTTATCACCTCAAAAAGAAACCCCATACCTAGTAGCAGTCACTCTGAATTCCTTAGGCCTTACCCCATCCTCCAGCAACAACTAATGTATGTTTTCTAGGTTCATCCATATTGTAGCATGTCTCAGAACCTCATTCTTTTTTATGGCTGAA